CCAATATTCGTCAAAATTGTTTATTTTTATTTCAAATAATTTGAACAGTTTAATAATTGATGATTTTTACTTATTTAATGAAATAAAGTAATAAAATGACTTTCGAATTTATTACTTGCCGGATTAAATAAACAGATTTGGCAACAGCGCGTTTGATTATACCCATTACAGAGACGTGCATGAGTGTGTGAGTCAAATATTTCTCTCTCTGTGACTATATTTCTATCCTTTTCGTTTTTTTCAGCTGTTGCCGCGACGTTGCCAAATCTTTATTAGAATAAATAGCTGACGATAAACGAGTCAAAAACATAAATTTTAACTTTAAATATTTCAAAAATTATATCGGTAATGTATTATTATTAAATTTTTTTTATATTTTACAATAATCCAAGTTTCTTGGTGTATATACAAAAAAAAAGTCATCTTGAGTCAAGTAATATTTACTTGATCCAAGTATATTCAACTGAAGATAAAATATATTCTTGAGTTAAGTAAATTTTTTTCTTGTATTGGTCAATCTTGGTTTAAGCAAATATTCCCTAGTTCCAACAGGCTTACCAACTTAAGTGAAGAAAAAAACCTCTTAATCCAAGTAAATCATTCTCTTGGTTTTTGAAGTTGCTTGATATACACACGGGCGCATCGAGGCCCGAGTAGGACAGCAGCCGCGCGGAAACCCATTTTCAACATTAAATAAAAATTATTGTTTATGGAGCTAGAGTTCCGGGAGTCGAGACTTTTTTTCAGCAATTTCCTCCTCTTTAAGGATCTTTTTTCTGATTGTCGATATCACTTATAGTTATTGAGTTATTAACGCAACAAATTTCTAACCGTGTACTTTGTATGAGTCGAGCAAATACTAGTATATACATATATTTTTGTCACTACACACTGAACTGTAAAGCAGCAATATAATGGGAAATCAGCACGTTAAAAATTAATAAAAAATGTCTAATTAAATGAACACAAAAAATAAAAATCATGCATAAGGTTATTTTTTTAAATTTAATTCTTTATTAAAAAAATCTCGGTTTAGTTCCAAAAAATCACGTTGCCAACGTTGGCGCTACTTTCCAAACCAAGAGATAGATTTACTTGGGATAAGTATATGACATTATTAGTTCAAGAATAAATTTTTTCAACTAAGATAGCAGAATAACTTGAAACAAGAAGTAAATTTTGAAGAAAATGATTTTCTTGAGTCAAAATGAATTTTTTTTCTGTGTAGTTTTTTATTCGTTAAAGTTGGGAGCTTATTATTGAAAAAAATAATTAAAGTCTTGACTAAAATTTGTCAGCTATAAGAGCCCGTGTATAAGGAAATAAAAAATGTGATATTTGAAATTTTATATCTAAGTAGCTAAACGATGAATCTTTTTAAAATTTTGGGATTAGATAAATGACGTATTTATTTATACGTATACTTAATTTCAAAGCTCAAATTTGGAAATTATTTTTCACATTAGATTCGCTCAAACCTCCTTAATAATGATCTGAAATTGGTCTAAATTGGGAATAGTAAGGGCAAAAACAGATTGAATTCCTATATAAAATAGATACACATAATAAAATTAAATTGAATGAAAAATATTAAAAATTTTTATTAATCATAAAACAGACTAAATTTTTTGACCCGGGTTGTTCTTTCAATATGCTAGTATTTAAATTCCCTCAATTAAAAGTTCAAATAACCAAAATTTTCACCTCCCCAGAAAGATAAAAATTTATTGTCTATTATTTATCACTCCGGACTTATCAATACCCTTAGAATATTAAAATAAAAAAAAACATTAACAAAACTTTTTCTCGGTATCTAAAATTCCATTGGTTGGTTGTTTTCTTCTCTTCACCCACTTGCAAAAAAAAGTCATTACTCGCGAAAGGAAAACGATGGACTCAGTACTTTATTCGAGGCTTAGATTAAGTCCAAAGAAAAATCTATCTAGTCTCTATAGTCCGTTAGACAGTGTGTATATACCCTCGAAAGAAAAAAGAAATAAGTAAAAGAAAAAGATAAATAAAAAAACAAGAACGTGGCAATATGGATGTTGTCCCGGAATATCCCCGTAGAATCTTTTTGAAGGGAATGAAGTGATCCGGAGCCGTTGGGTTTGGGTTTCCAGGGGGTACATAAGGATAGTCTCTCACTCAATTTAGATCGAGTAGCGGACATTTGTTACCACCAACACTCACCCATATATCTATCTAGCTTTTTATTTCCTATTATTTATCTGGATAAATAAGTCAACTTATTCTTTAGTCTTATATCCTTATATTTCTCTTCGCAGTTTCATTTATTTACTTCTACTCAATCGATACAATATTAATATTGAATCATATTATCTATAAAATGGACAAACGTATAGGGTAAATGCACCAATTATTGACCGATTAAGGTTTTCTTTTTCTGTACTAAGCTATAAAAAATCTATTAACCTACTAAAAACAATTTGTAATGGATTTTATTAAAGTTAAATACTTAATTAATAATAATTAATAACTATTTATAATAAAAATTAACAAA